TTAGCGAAGCGAATTATTCTTCGAATTTAATATTATTATTGTTGCTGTTCTTATTATTTCCCTTCGAAATTAGAAAAACCTTTTTGATTTATAGTGAATAGATTAATTTAAAATCATTAAATTATATAAAAGTTATATTTATTATTTAAAATATTTTAGTTTCTATATAAGAATTATGTTATTAGGTTGGCATTGTTTATAAATATAGATTTTCAAATTTTAACCAATAAAGGCAATTTTTCCATTAGCAAGGAAAACTACTCGATCAAATAATTCAAATGTATCAGAGGCTGGCTGATGAATTGTACAAATAACTGTTTTACCATTTTCGGATGCCATCCGTTCAAGTAGCTTAAATTCATTGTTTATATTTATTTGTATAATTAAAAATTGTTTTTCTCCTTCTTAAAAAAATTAAAATTAAAAACTATTTTTCTCCTTTTTCTTTTATATGTTTCTGTGTGTGTGTCTGTGCGTGTGTGTGTGTGTATGCTAATTTTAAATTTAATAATTAATTTTAAAAAAAAAAAACAAAGGAAATATTCTGATTATATAATTTAAAAACCTTAACAATATGATATGCCATAAATGAATCAATGCCAGTTGTTGGTTCATCAGCAAATAGTAATGATGGATTTGTTAAAATTTCCGTAGCAAATGATAAACGTTTCGCTTCACCACTTGTGATACCTTTTTCTCTACCTGATACACCAATACGTGAATCAATGCAATGTTCTAATTCTAATTCAGCAATTACCTTAATTAAAAAGCATTAAATAAAAAAAAAAAGAAGCTAATAATTTCAAATCAATAATTACTATTGATTGGCGTAATCAATGAGAGAGAGAGAGAAAGATATTCCAATTGATAAGTTTTGATAACATTTTAGTTTTATCACTTAATTTATAATTATCTTAATTAATGTAAAAAAAGAAATGTTTTTCAATGCAAAAAATAAAATTGAAAATTTATTAATATTTTTCATAAATTTGTCACAATTTCTTTTTTTCATTTATTTTAAATATTTTTGAATAAATTTTTATAATTGAAATATTTTATATAAAAATATATATTAATTATAAAAGTATTTAATTATTAAATTTATAATTTAATTATCAAATTTATAAATAATAATTTGTGGAGGAATTGAAATGTCTTATGCAAATATTAAATAAAATATAATAATTGTTGATTAATAATAAATTAATAAAATTTTATTAAATTATTATTCTTTAAAATATATTGATGAAAAACAAAGATTATTAATTATTTTTTTTTAAAATAAAAATAAAACTTAACAAATTGTTTTATTGAAAATTAATGAATTACTTGTTTTACGCGTAATTCTTTTTCATGTTTTGTAAGAGAAGCTGGCAGCCGAAGAGCTGCTTGTAAATTCAAATGTTCATAAACTGTTAAAGAATTGATAAATAAATTTTGTTGCTGAATATAAGCAGAAACCTAAAAATCAATGAATTATAAAAATAAAATGTTATTAATTATTCAATTATTTAAGATATTTATAAATTATTTAATTTATAATAATAAAATATTTTATTAATTATAAATTATACATTATAAAAGGTTATTATTATATACTATAAAATTTTACATTTTGTAAATTCAATTATTTTATATATTATAATTGAAACTATCCTTTTCTTTCCCTCAAATAAACAAACGCATTGTAAACAATTATTATCATAGTTTTGTAACCAATTATATGCATAATAAATATTAAGCAAATTATTTCTTTATTTATTTTTTTAAAGTAAATAAATAAATATATATATATATGATAATATTCGATGTATAATCAATTTGTAAACAAATTGTATGTACGATTGTAATATATATTTGATGGAGAAAGAAATAAAATTTAAATTTTATGCTATCATAAGAGAGAAGAAAATGATAAGGCAAAGTTGCCTTAGTAATTTTTCGACCAATTATTTGACCATTAACTTTGACAATACCATCGATTTTTAAACCTTTAATATTTCGTTGTAGTAAAGCATTTAATAATGTTGTCTTTCCAGCGCCACTACAAACAAATTCTGCCCTAATTTTAAATTAACATTTATCACTAAAATTAGTATTGAAAGATGTCGTTGGCCGTACAATAATTGTCCATCTCTCAGTTGTTAATGAATTAACGGAAGATCTGGTCAGGAATCGTAAGCATGCATAACCAAACCGTGCAATACGATTTGATGAACACGTAATACATTCCGTTAATAAA